TGAGCCCATCCCTGTAGGGGTCGATTGCATTCCTTAAGATGTGTCAATGACTGTGCATGTCTTGCCTTATGTAATCAGCATAATACTCATGCCAGACACAGAAAAAACTCCCTTTTATATTAAGCAGGTAAGTGAGAAACAACCTCTGTTAGATACTGATGTGCCAAACTCTGGGTAACGGCAGTGTGTCTGTGGAGATGCGATGTTCTTTACTTCTTTCACATTCAGATGTTGTTTTGTTTGACAAAATGTGCAACGAGTTCCAAGCATCACATGACATTAGTCCAAAAGAGGACAAATACCTCCTCTATCCAGGATATGCCTGGAAGCCTTAACTAACTCCTCTCTCTATCCTTTTTGAGCAGGTTAAATTGTGACCCCAGATGAAACAGCCAAGTTCTTTGAAATGCAGTCATAAAAGACTTCAATCATTGAACAAGGAAACACTCTGTACGTTTGGCACAAACTGCAGGAAACGTGGACGAGGGACAAAAAATGTGCCAATCTAAGAGCATTACTTCTACATAGGGGTTTGTGAAGCTGGTTGATCCAGTTTTCACTGGCTTGGCTGTCCCTAATGCCATGGCTCTTGTCAGTTCAATTTAAACTCAAGTTTAATGAGTGCTCAGAACAAAAGATCTTGGATATGGTTTTGTGCTGCATCACTCAGAGGGTTTAAATGGTTGCATAAAATATTTAACAGAATGTCAACAAGCTTGTATGTATAAACTAGTCTGGACAGACCCATTCTACATTCAACTTTTAGGTTATTTTTTCATATGTCATAATTCTAGTTATTCCAAATCTATAAGATTCATCAGTACAAGTGTATCCAAACTCAAGTGTGTCACCATATGTTCAGCGCTGCATTATCTAATCTCTTAAACTGATTATCTCTCTACATTGTTTTTGCTCGTTGTTAATCATTGTTTGAAATAATAGCATTGCGTCTTCATATTAAACACTCTATATTTAAAACAAACTGTGCCAACAGCTTATTAAAAACTATTCATGTAGCCGATTCTGTTGTAGCTATGACATGCAATTTAACTTTCTTAACTTGTACTGCAGCTGTATTGTATTGAACTGAAAGTCAGCGTTGCGTCAATGTAATACTTTCAAAGCCTAAGGTTCAGATCTTAATTCGCATAACGCGCACGTCTTCTTACCTGCCGATGTCGGAGCACCTGGAAGAGTCCGCAGAAACAGCAGCTTGCGTAAACGCGCATCTCTGTTTGGTGGCTAAAATGATGCAAATGCAGATAATCACAACACAGCACACTAAAGCGAGTATGCAAAAGCAGCAGCGTCTCGACTGAGATTTGGCCATGCTTTGATCAGCGCGCGTTCAGCAGGTAGAATGAGACGCGCGCGCTGCTCACTGACTTTTTGAGTGTCGGGGCGGAGAGGAGGCGCGCGACTGAGTGACTTTAGGACGCACTTAAACAGAAACGAGATGGTTGTTTAACTTTATAAACTTACTTGAGAGAGTACAAGTAACTGTACAGTGAAGTCAGTGTGAACACGAAATTATATTCGAAAGAATTCATAAAACAAGTCAGGAGTGAGTTACTGTACTGTGACTTTTATGAAGCCCATCGCCCCTTGCTGTTATAAAACGGCGCCTACTGAAATCTGATTTTAAAAAGTTACATAAATGTTTATATTTATTATGTTTAATTATTCAGGTGAGGAAAAAAAAACAGCAATTCTTCCGCCAATTAATAGGCTTCAGTTCGTGGTTGCCAACGGAATTTGCGAATGTGCAGTGAGGCACGTGCAATAGGCTATTTATCTTTATTTACGACGTCCTGCGCGTTTATCAGTTTAGAATTTATAGTCAGAACAATATATTTTTATTACATTAATACCATAGTAGCCTACATAAATACAAGTACAATTTTAGAAGAAACAGCAGTACAGAATACTGGAGTTGACATCTAAAAATGTAGGCTATATATAATTTCATGAGTTTGTGCCCATATAATCTTATTTTAGCATTAGTGATAAACAGATTTGGCTTGATGTCTGCAATGGAGGGCTCAGAGAGACTATTCTACTCGAGCTCCGATAGCCTCCTATAGACAGAAAGATAAATAAATAAAAATGCACAAAAAGGAGGAGATGGGGAGGAGGAGGGACGATTAATTGGAAGATTAGATGGGCGTACTCCTCCCGAAATTACATTAATAACTTCACTTGCGTAGAATTCTTTCTATTTTTTTTTACTGTCCTTATTTAGTCCTGTTTGTTGTTTTCAGCTCTTGATTTTAGTCTGTACCAGCTAACCAACTTTTGTAATTTATTAGCCTAACTAAAGTTAATAAATATGTCTTTTGGCATAAAGGAGGTTAGTTTATATTTGCACATAACTGGGTTATCACAGTTTTATTCATTTAACAAAGAATGAAAAGTAACAGAACTTTGCTAACTCAAACTTTAAAAAAGTAAATTAATAGCCTATACTTATGAGAAAAGTACATGATAAACTATCTTGATTATCTCAAATATGGAATTGTGATTCCTGAGAAAGACTAGATTAATCTTGCATTCATCTCTCCGAGAATTTCATCTCAACGATTTCTCGTACTGCACTCATATTTGGCAAGAAGAATCTGTGACTCACTTCATTCAACTCATCACCATCTACTTATCATCTATCATGAATGATGACAACCATAACATTTAAAGTTGTTAGGTGAGTTTGATCACATTAGGGGAAAAAAAAACATATTGGCAAGAGACAATGTCACATTCCACAAGGGCCTTTAAAACTTTTATTTTTTAACCGGGAGAAATTCACAGAAGTTGATAGACAATGCACACTGAATTTAATGAATTGAGAGAGTTATTTTTTAAAAATTTTTTTTTTTTTACTTATTTACTGTAAATTCGCTTTTTTTTTTTCTTGTTTGTTTTTTTGTTTTCACAGCTGGCTCTTCTTCAAATTAACTCTACACAGCTGCCTTCCTGTCACTGCCTTGGAAGTTCTGTAGGTCAGTAGCATCACATAAAACTGATTAAACGTGTCTTTACTTCCATTTCTCAAGAAAATATAATTAGCTTGAGCTTTTACATTGTGTAAACTTCTTTCTTACCATACAGAGGAAAACAAGATATTTCCCAAAGCAAAATATTCCCTCATCCATGTATAGGCTTGCCTGAAGAAACAAATAAGGTACAGACAGTTTTCTTTGTAATTGATTAGATAAGTTTCAGTAAAAATTATTTGCATAATATTGTTCAATAAAGAACTAAATTCTTAAACTTTTAAAGGAATAGTTCATCCAAAATAAAATTTGCTGAAAATGTATATTCACCCTCAGGCTATCCAAGATGTAGATGAATTTGTTTCTATTTCTAAAGCAATATTATGGATAGAGGACTTGTATTTTAGCTACAATGATTTTAAGTTAAAAACACCTTAATGATGGATTTCACCTTAATGATGGATGCGCATCTTTTCATGTCACAAGACTTTAACTGATGGACTGGAGTTGTGTGGATTATTGTGATGTTTTTATCAGCTGTTTGGACTCTCGTTCTGACGGCACCCATTCACTGCAGAGGATCCATTCGAGAGCAAGTGATGTGATGCTAAATTTCTCCAAATCTGTTCAGATGAAGAACTCATCTACATCTTGGATGGCCTGAGGGTGCGTACATTTTCAGCTGATTTTCATTTTTGTGTAAACTATTCCTATACAAATAAAGGTTTTAATTAGAAACAATAAGGGTGAGTAATGTGGAGAAACGTTTTAACCTGTTTTCTAGTTCTTTAGAAAAGCATCAATGTTCTGGTGCTTTAGAAATACTTAAAAATTAAAACTCCTGATCTACAGAACATTTCATTTGAACTTTTCTACATTCCAAAAACATTTAGCAAATCAAGAACCCTATACAGTCAAAAAAACGTTCTAGATAAGAAGAACCTTTATTTTGAGTGAAGATTCATTTTCGCAGTAGGTAAAGGTTTCTTGAGTTGGTTATCAGAAGACACAAAAGTTCAGAGTAAAAGTTTAAAGTTTTCAGAGCAGAGTATTGGTTTCTAGGTTCTTTAAAACACCACCACATAGATTTTTCTAAAGAACACAAGAATAAAAAGAACTTAAAAGGCATTAGGCTATAAAGCCATTTTTGGTTCTAACTGGAACCTTTTTTATGTGTAAAAGTTGATTGAAACAACTGTGTGCTGTTATATGAAGAATGAAAGTGAAGTATTTGTTTTGTCCTTGAACTGAAAGCAATTGTTTTGATGTTCACCACTCTGTGCCTGTCAAATCTGTGCATGTTCCCATGAAAAGACTCAGACATCTGAGAGAAACAGTTAAGTGAAAGGTACTAGAAAGATCTGGGTTTAGATATGTGACAAATATGCTAGTTTAGATACTCATTATTCCGTTGGCACTATTAATAAGGTACAGTAAGCAGGTCATTATATGTGATATTCAATATTTAAAACAAAACCTTGTCTTTTAACGGTATATATAAATGTGAGGAAATGTTTCTTGGGTAATCCGTCATTGTGCTGGAAAAAAATAGTCCTAAAAGAAATTAGACTTTACCTAATTAGTAGTTGTGTAAACAGCACATGGAAAGCCCCAAAGTGTGTTTTGTAAATTGTGGCAAAGATAACAGTAATGATTAGAATGATAAATATGAGGGTTGGTAATGAGTGATTTTCTGTATAGCCAGTTTAAAGATGAAGATAAGAGATACGATGACTGAAACAGACACTTTCAAGTTAAACTAAAGCATCTGTTGCCAAAGCAAAGAGTTGGCTAGATAAACGTCTTTGGCAATTTCCAGCAAATTCATGAAGGAGCTAAACCTCATTTGAAAAGATGCCAAGTTAAGCTCTCCAAACACTCTGGTAACAGTAAGCAGATTGGCAGACACATAACTTTCAGACTGACACCTTTTTGTGTAGCCTAACACCCAAAAATTGCGTCATCATTTATTTACCGTCTTGTATTTCCAAACCCGTATGACTTTATTTCTTTTGTGGAACATGAACGTTTTTTGGTGAATGATGTTGCAAAGTATCTTTTGTCTTTTGCAGATGAAAGTATACAAGTCTGTAACAACATGAGGGTGAGTAAATTACAGATTTTTCTTTCTTTTTTTTGTAAACTGTCCCTTTAAGCATTATCACACGAGTACTGAAAATCATATGTGACTCAGTCTGCTCAGAACTGTGATATTGCTCAGCACTTGGGAGAACATTTTATCAAGTTTAATGTTAATCTGAGAGTGAATAGCTTAGTTTGCACAGTCAAGAGCAACAGTGCCCGATCCAAACCCTTTTCAATTTTTGGTATTGATAAACTCATCTGCAACAAAAGCCCTGACAAATCAAATGTCAAAGCAAAACAAAGAATGAAAGAGGACTGCAGGCGTAGGAATTCAACATTATACACCTCATCTGTTCACAGTAAATACAAGCTGACCCTGGAATTGTAGCTTTCAACTGACCGCAGACAACCTCCTTAGCGCAGACAAAGAAGCTTAAATCCAGGGAGTTTATGAAGCTAGTTGAGAAATATACATATAAAAAAACCTTGATTGTTGAAACGCTGTCTCACATGAACACCAAGAACATATCCGCGTTTGTGCATCAATGTCTGTAATGTGTGCTGTAGGTGTGAAACTTTTAGGAATCTTATCCAAGTTGTAGGCTAGTCAATATTGGTCTGTCAGTCAGTCGTATCTGACATAAAAGATCCGCGAATGAAACTGTGACCACAAACACCATTAACTTAAGTGAATTATATGGTAATAATCAGCAATAGGCGTTCACACAAATAACTTAATTTTTTGAATGTTTTAATATGTGTTCACACAAATAACTTATTTGAATTTTTCATTGATACAACATTGCACTGAGTTGCTAGAAAAGAAATGCGTAGAGACGTTATGGCTTGATGACGTCAAGAATCGATGAACCGGCTTTTTGAACCGGTTCAATGAGCCGATCTGTCTGAAAAGAACCGGTTCGCGGAAATGAATCGGACTTTGCATCACTACTTTCCACAGGTGTCCTGGTACCAGGTTGGCAGCAGACAAAAGAGATCAGGATCAGCAGGTAAGTATTCCACAGAAGGGGAGCCAGGTAAGTCTATACGGGAGTGACTTTACATGATACGAGACCAGACAAAGCTTGAGTGCAGTGAAGGTGGCTTGTACTGGTCTTTACTGCGGTGAGACAGGTTCGGGCAGTGAGACCTCAGGTGATGGTGATCGTGAACTGTGAGCAGGTGTGAGCCAGGGAGGATTCTGGGAAATGGAGTCCTTAAAGTGGTAAGGTGACAGAGCTGGTGACTGGCTAGTGACAGCATACAGGTTTGGAATGACATGAGGGTGAGTAAATTATGATAGAATTTTCATTTTTAGGTTTCTTTCTTAATTTGC